GGGCATCATCTTTTCTCTATCTGAGACAAAAGTTGATAAATTTCTATATCGAATCTTTAGGCAGTTATGTACTATGGGCACGGATAACAAGACATCAACTTATTTCATTTGCATTCCATAAACTCGTTTTCTCTCCGAAAAATGAAAACCTTTTTATTCTGGTAGCAAAACTAGTTGATGAATCTGATACGAAATTCTCAAGCTGCTATAGGGCAAAATTTTTTTTTGATCTGCCTTTGGACGTACTTATCCTTCAGAGAGTTATAAAGCCGTTGAGTCACTGCTTCGATTAAGAAAACGCGATTTGTACTTGAGAAGTTTTTGCAGTTCTGCAATTAATTTCGTTAGGAGAGTTCTTTTATAGAATTCCCAGCACCTTTCTATGATAACTAATCTCCTTTCATTTTTCCCCATAAAAATGACTGTATGTCTTCAGGCCTTACCATTTGTTTATTATATAAATCAAAGTGTATTTACTGCAGCAGCATTCATTATCAATAGAATTTGAAATTTTGAGTCGGTGACAAGGCTCCTGCTAACATTTTTTCCAAAGCTTACAGCAATCATACATTTTTCTATGGTGGCAGCAACAAGAAAAGGGGAATATCTTGAAGACTTTTTTTGCTAGCCGATACTTGCGGTAGGCATTGCATACCTAGGATCATTCTCAAATATGGGGATTGATCAATCACTATCTGGGAAAGTACTAGCAGACTGAGACATTCTACTTTCAGAACCAAAGAAAGACTGCGCTTCTATGGGTGCGGGAATTTATCTACCCAGAAAGGCTTGCCGCATTGTAATTAGCAAGGGATATGAGAGGTCATGAACTGTCAGCAACGCTAATTTGCACCCAATTTGCACCGGAGACAAGCAGATTTTGCTCACGACAGATACGACATCATCCTACAGTGTATGAAACCGGGATTTCATTGAAATTTAAATTCAAACTTCAGTAGTGAAATTAGTCCAACTAAGGTAAAAATTTGTATTTAGGGGTAATCTGCCATGCTCTTTCCAAATATGATGATGGTTTTGCGTGAAAACTCAAAATTTTTCTTTTTTAAAATTTAAATCTTGTTTTCAGTATTTTTCTGGCAAAAAGCTTAAAAAATTCATTTGTTTTTCATGGCGGTACAGGCTGATTATTACTTTCACTGCTTTCAGAATAAAACTGTGCACGAGCCAGTATCATTAGAAAAAATGAATGGCCAAAAATCATTTTTGAGTATCGGTTCTGAATTTGAGACTGGCGTTTGCCTTTATTTATCTGAGATCCCCATGACAGCTGTTGAGAGTTAGGATCCACTGTTGTATAATATTGCTGCACCAATTGCTGCATTTGAACGTTGAATAGAGCGTCGAAATTGTAAAGGCCATCAAAAGACATGATGAGAGTATCGAATACGCAATAGGGGGTTCTGTCTGACAATTTTTTCCTATTTATAGGAAAATATTAGCCTTAAACTGTTTTTTCGACCTTTCATTCCCATAAGCATTTTTGGTCATTTCATTGGTCTGGGCGTACTCGTCGGCTCTGTGTTCGCACATCATAATATCTGTCTTTGACAGATACAATACCGCTCTCAGAACGTGCAAAATTTCCGTGAATGTCGCGGAAACCCCGGAATTCCGCGAAGGACCGCGAAATTTTCGGAATTTCGCGACATTTCCGGAATTTCGCGACATTCCGGGAATGTCGCGAAATTTTCGGAATATCGCGACATTTTCGGAATTTCGCGACATTCCGGGAATTTCGCGGAATTTTCGGAATATCGCCATAACTTCCTTCGGAATGCATAAATTCTGGATCTGAAAAAAGGGTTATACTCAGCTCATTAAGGCGAATCTTTTGGTACCTTGCCTTACCGTAATTCTCAGGGCACGATTGGTGCACGATCTGAGATGAATTTTGCATTTTGGGAGAGAGAACGTGGGTGTACGGCAGCAAGTGAATCCTTTTGCGATTTTTCTGAAATTCTAGGGAGGGGGAAGGGGGGAGGAGTAATCAGTGTTATTGGGTGTGGTTAGTTCTGAAATATGCGAACATGCCGTGATGATGCCGTCGATGTTGTTTTTCCCCTCTTCTGTTTATTTAGTAGCTCCAAGCACCTATTTATTACTAGAAGGGGTGGATTCGAGTACAGGACACGAATATTGTGTTCACCTCCCCTCTCCCAAAATGCAAAATTCATCTCAGACCGTGCACCAATCGTGCCCCGACAATTACGGTAAGGCAAGGTACCAAAAGATTCGCCTTAATGAGCTGAGTATAACCCTTTTTTCAGATCCAGAATTTATGCATTCCGAAGGAAGTTATGGCGATATTCCGAAAATTCCGCGAAATTCCCGGAATGTCGCGAAATTCCGAAAATGTCGCGATATTCCGAAAATTTCGCGACATTCTCGGAATGTCGCGAAATTCCGGAAATGTCGCGAAATTCCGAAAATTTCGCGGTCCTTCGCGGAATTCCGGGGTTTCCGCGACATTCACGGAAATTTTGCACGTTCTGAGAGCGGTATTGTAGTCTCCAACCACGTGCATTACAGCCATGCCTATCAATGCTGATACGAGCAAATATTTTATCATTTTAAAATAGAGTGATAATTCAGTAGCTGATCTTTAAGCAAACTAACTGTAGGGTCCGGAATAATTAAATAACACACAGATTTCCATGATAGCTGGGAATCTTTTCCAATCCTTCAAACTTAGTTTGAGCTTCATTGAATTTTTTCTTACCTTATTTCGAATTTTTACCTCGCAGTTTTATCATTTCTTTCTAGTCTTCCTGGAAATACATTCTTTTTCATTTGTTTTTCAGTTTTATCAAGGTTGCAGTGAAATTTATGAAAAAGTCAAAATTTCAAAAAAAAAGTTTTCGAAGTTTCCGGCGAAAACATTAGCATATTCGAAAACAGCATCATGAAAAACCCTCAAATGAATTTTTTGAGCTTTTTGCCAGAAAAATACTGAAAACAAAAAAAGAAAAAATTTTGAGTTTTCACGCAAAACCATCATCATATTTGGAAAGAGCATGGCAGATTACCCCTAAATACAAATTTTTACCTTCGTTGGACTAATTTCACTACTGAAGTTTGAATTTAAATTTCAATGAAATCCCGGTTTCATACACTGTAGGATGATGTCGTATTTGTCGTGAGCAAAATCTGCTTGTCTCCGGTGCAAATTGTGTGCAAATTAGCGTTGCTGACAGTTCATGACCTCTCATGTCCCTTGCTAATTGCATTGCGGCAAGCCTTTCTGGGTAGATAAATTCCGTTCCCCCGCTTCTATTGTTTACTCTCGAAAGAGACAGAGGGCATGGGAGGAGAGCGGTAGTTGTTTCCTCTTCTCATAAAAAGGTGATGAAGGAGGGTCTGCTGTGTTTTCTGAGCTCTGTCCCGCATGGGATATGAACTTTCAAAGGATTATAATCTTGCTTTGATAAATGCTCGAGGCAAAATACTCCTTTTAGTCCGTAGATCTTCTATCAGAGCAAAAACAAACAAACAAAGGATACATGACATAACCATAAATACTACCACTCATTATCTCTGCTTTCTGCCTATGAGTGGTACATACCCACATGCGATTTTTCCAAACACGTGTTCAAATTTTCCTTCGCTGCATCTCTCGATCATTTCTCTTTGCTTTTTCATAAACATATAACATAACTTTTTCATAGAGCTATCTAAGTGCAGATTTCTTTTTCTAATCAATAAAGAAAAATAACTTACTTTTATGTAATATGATTTACAAGGATGTTTGGGGAACTTGTTCAAGAGAATATGTTAGAAGGAAGATGCGATGTGAAAGGTAAGCTTAATTTATGTGTTCGTAAAAATGTACAAGAAATTAAAAATGTAAACCTGCTTGGCGGGTGCTCGCGGACGTTTCCGTTCTATCTCTTTCAGTTATTTTTCTTGCTTAACAAAAATGGTCAGTTGCGCGGTCAAAAGCTTCCAAAGCTTTGCTCTAGAGAGTCTAGGTAGACGTACCTGGAGTTTTTGTCAGAATACTGGGGAGGCTCTCATCAAGCCATCGAGGACCCTAACGGTCAACATGGAATGAGTATTTCGTATGAAGAAATTTCTCGATACAAATGAATCACTTGAGCAGCTTGTGCAACAACTTAGTCAAAACCTTCGAATCAGCTTCTAACCAATTGAGAACCCTTGGCACCAAATTTTTGGACTAGATCGAAGGGCTTGGCAAGCAAGTGCAACAACATTAAAAGACCCATGGCAGTTAAATCAAAAATTACAACTCTTTGCGGCTATGCAAATTCGAGTTCCACTTTGACAGTGTGTTTTAGCTTTCTCGCATTTCTACCACGGTCTTTTCAAAAATACACTTATTCACGCAAGTGGTTCACGATTTGCGAAAATGTTATACTTTCACGCGGACAAGCAGGCATCTAGTGAGTAAAAAATTCTCTTGTATCCATATGATAAACATTAGGTAAAAGTCAGAATATTATACGTTTAAGATCCTAAAACAGTCTTTCTTGATATTATTTTTCTCTTCTCTATTACAGTATGCTGTCCAGCAGGTTTTCCTTTATATGCTCATTTTACACAATTTTCTCTCTCCGTCGTTATGCAGCACACCATGTGGTAAAGTTCTTCTGCATCGTAGGCGCTCTTACAACTTTCATTCTGAGCTGGAGTTCATAAATTTACTGCATTCCGAAGTCTTTATATCAACTCTTGCTGATTCGCTGTATTTTCCTCTTTTTCTGAAATGACATAAGATGCAACTTCTGTGGTGATCATTTCCTGACGACAGACGTGCAAAGTAGTTTTTATTTCTTTTTTGTGTTTCCTACTAGTATTTGCATCAAGTGTCGCCTTCTCTCCTCTTTGCATCGTATCGCATCTTATCAAACAAAACGAGGAAGTCTGATTGTGAGAAGCTGAGAAAAATATTGCATCATTCGTGAAATCTCGCTAAAACTTTTGTAGTTCATAGCAAATAATGGCATTTTGCTATTTTTGCAGGCTCAACATGGTACAGTTGTCGATTAGCAAAATTTGCTGGTGTGTGCTATGCTTCCATATACCGTTCACTGTAGCAAAAGGTTTTTCAAAGGTAAGCGTTCTAATGTTAACTCACAACAATATGTCTTCCCGAAACACTCTCTCAAAGCAACCATCCACCCTATTAGGCGTCTTTCGCTTTTGGCAGCTTATATATCAGCTTATAACACCCCTATCAAACCAATGAACAAGCAGCGGTGCAAATTGTTGCTTCGGAAGCGAGAAAATCGCTTCGGAAAAGGTGGAGGACCCCAAGTTGACACCGCCCCCTCCAGTAATGCCCTCCCATCCTTGCGCGCCCTTCAATCACCGTTCCAGAAATCCGGCCTGCGGGTTCTCTGGATCAGGGATTGTCGGGGTTTTCGCGGATTCTCGACTTCATATCCGGCAACAGGGATATGAGAAGCCCACGCAGGATGAAAACATGGAAGTCGAAAATCTGGATGAACGGTGCCTATAAAATAGATGTCGCTGTAATTGATAGTCCTTACAAAATATCTTACCTACTTTCATGAGGATAATGCTTTGGGAAGCACAGAACAGGAATGTCATCTTGAAAGTTCACTCATAATCTTTTTGACTCAACTTTCTTTGCTCATATAGATAACATAAAATCATTATATTGTATTAGGTTGCCCCAAAAGTAAATTCCATTTCCAAATAAATTGAGCTGTTTTTGTTTTCTTAACAGATTTAGGGTCCCTTTAGATAGAGCGGAGCAAGCTCTTCAAAAAAAAACCATCAAGGATCCACCTAAGTCGTAATCCAGACAAAATTTGGAGCTGAAAATAAAATTTTTCAGCTACCTCCAAAATCGGATTTCCTTCAAGAAACTTCCTACGGGCTTCCAACTTGGTCTGTATATAAAAGACACAAAGTAGTTCTCAAAAATGTATTTGGTGATATTTTCCAAAGCTTAAAATTGAGAAATAAAAGTGGTCTGAAAATGCCAAAATGATGTTTTTCTCGGGTTTTTCGTGTAAAACTCGGTATTTCTCGATAATAAGAGCTCATACAGGGACAAGGTTTTAAAATTGTACTTAATTAGACTTGTAGTATATAATGACATATGTGGGAGGGGCTGTGGGCGGAGTTTACCATTTTTGGACTATCTTCGACTTCTCGCCTTCTATGCGCGGAAAAGTCCAGTAAAGGCATACTTGAGTACTACTATGTGCCTGCTGTACAATGGCCAAGTTGGAGTTCCGTAGAATTTTTCCTCTCAAAAATCCAATTTTCAGGTGACAAAATTTTTTTCGATTTTGGCTACAAACTTTACATTGTATGCGGCTTGGGCGGGCCCTTGGTGGTCCTTGTGCAGAGCTTGATCTGCTCTATCGAATGATACCCTAAATATACTAGGAAAACAAAAACAGCTTGAATTATTCAAAAAAGGACTTTGGTTTTGGGACAACATATGTTATATTGTAGAGAATATAAACAAGCATTTTACTACAACAGATCTCAGGATGGCTGTTTACAAGTTACTTCGTGTATTTGCACCAATTATTCACTTACAGCAAAAGCCGGACTATGATTGGCGAGCGCAAGACACTCCCCTTGAAGACTCGCTCTGCAAGGAACCCACGTTTAGCGCAAATCTTCCCGAAAACATGCGCAAGGAGATCCATTCCATATGGAAGGCTCAGAACAGCAATGAAGATTGCTTTGAGAAGATATCTAAAACCAGGTATTGGTTTGATTCGGGTCCACTTAAATTGGGCTTGGTTCATTTCAGAAAAATTCTGGCCCAGTTGAGTCCTAGCAAACGACGCAAGCTGCTGAACGGAGCTAGGCAGTGCAAGGTGAGGACCAGCTCTGTATCTTAGCACGGCTGCACAAAGTCTGAAATAAAGTCGTTTGCACCTACATGCAATTGTGTATGAATAAACCGGCAATTTTACTTTTTCTTATGTTCATCTATCGAACACATTTCAGCGCTAGAAAAGTAACCTTCGATTCAACTGGCTTGGCGGCTGGAAGGCGGGCTTTGTGGCTTAATCAAGGCAGCTCGCGCCCGCGCCGCAGTCTGCGTCTATCCCGCACGCGTGCTCTCTGATCATCATCTAGCCTTAATTAGGTCACGAAGTCCCGCCTTCCAGCCGCCAAGCCAATTAAATCAAAGGGTGAGATCAACAAGGAAATGTTGGTTAGCCAGTTCTAAAAGCATACATATAAAATTTCCTCTCACGCTCATGCTTCCCACCTCACTCATAGTCCCTAAATGTTTCGAAATTATTGTCTCATTTCAAAGACGAGCAAAGTGTTGAGAGATAATGCTTCTGCATCTACAGTTGCTACGAAAATTTAGCACGTCTTCTACTTTAATTCCGAGTAAAAAAACCTGAATTTGTCATATTTTAGCCACCAGACATAGTCAAGACGCTCCCAGACCCACTCCGCGCGAGAATCCTTGATATATGGAAGCAACGAGATCCGAGTGGGAATTGCTGGGAACAGCAGAGGAAGACTAGGTAAACTCAACTTATTTTCGGGAGAAGGCCTAAGGAAAAGATTCTGTCACATTTTTTGAAACGGTCTGTTGCTCAAATTTGGTCAATTCTTTCCTTTGAACACCTGTCCTGCTTTTGAGTTCCAAGCAAGTAGATTACATAGCGCGATTGAATCGACATATATCACAAAGCTTCTCTGAAATACTTTGCAAGGGGGACAAGTGGGTCTGTCATTCAGCTCTCCATAGAAGAAAAAAGGGAAGGTGAAAGGATGCCCAGAAAAAGTTGAAAATATGTCATTAGTAAACCTTATCATCGCCCATATCAACTAAAAATGGCATATCATCGCTTCACTGAAGTTTTCAGGCTGCTTCTACTCAACTTGCCTCTTTCCATAAGGAGGCGTCTTCACCCAGCAGCAATGGAATGCGCTCTTCCTCACTTCATTGATCGACTCGAGTGGGATCTCCAGGTTACTATCAATAGACTTTGGCTGATTTTGTAAAAGTCAATCTATGAAAATCGGGTCATCTTCTATAGGAACTTACCACTTGATAGGCGAGCAATTTGACTTCATGAAATTTCATAATGAATTTAGTATGGTATTTTAGCGGTCTCGGAACCGCCGTCAATGAAATCGTGGTCATGAGCCATGAAGGGAATGAGTCTTATCAAAGTACTGAATTTGGGCATTTTATTGATTGTAGGCAATAAATCTAAAACTCAATCATACGCAGCAATCAACCTTGTCTATTTCCGTGGCATGCACGACCGCGCCCAGAAAATACATTGTTCAACATTGGTGGGAAACGAGTTGTTAGTCTAATAAGGTTCTGACAAAACTCTTAGGGTTGTTGGAAAGTTACCATTTTTTCGACAAACTGGATTATTGAAATGGGTAAGGAGGTTTTGTAAAATTTTTTGATGGCGATGTACATTGTAATTTTGGAATTAACTTTGTAGAGTGAAAAGGCAAAAGTTTGGAATGCAAGGTCTGCGATTTTATTCTGCAAGTTCACCGATTGATAACTTTCAAAACTACCCTTGATAAGTAGTGATTATCCATGTCATCTTGTAGTTAGAGACCTACCAAAGGGTGAGGAAGAAGTTAGAAGGAAATAGACATGTGAATCTATTATATCAAAAGGAAGACTTGAATCTCTCTCATACACTAGGACCGCTTTGTTTTTTTCTCACAAAATCAGATATCAGATCAAAGTGCTTTTTCAAGGCCGAGGAAATAAAAAGGAAAGCATAAGAATTGGGAACGAGGACGTTCCAAAAAGGGGCCTCAAAGTTTTTGAAAGTCACTCAAATGAGCTATAAATTTGTGCAAGTCACTTGTTTTCACTTGTGAATGAAAATCCTCTTAGAAATTCTTCGGAATTCAAATTAGCCACGCAAACAATTCTTTCGGAGGCCTGGCTGCTACACTTCTTTCTCCAGAAATCTCATTGTCAGTAGAAAAATTGTAGAACGCCTTAAAAATTTTTTCGGAGGTCATGGCTAAGACCACGCTCCCTCGCCCAAAATTTTTTTGTGTCGTCTTTCTTACCCCCTCCTCCCCAACGATGGACTGCCACTGGCCCAAGTGATACAAGGCTTCAGCTCAAAGTGCAAATCCGAACTCAGCGAAAACTAAGCAATCCCATTAATGTCTGAAGCCCAAAATCTGATGTTTCAGGTGAAGCTGAGAAATCTCTGGGCCGACTACAAGAAAGGAGAGCCGTGCACGAATGTGTGTTGGTTAGTGTTCTGGCTAGACTGAATTTTTACCACCCTTTGTTTTCCAGTACGTGACGAAACAACTGCGTCTACTGCAAGAACACGACATCTCCCTGCAGTCGTTCGACATGCCACCGATCGGATTGTTTCGCAGATTCCAGCTGATCCACAAGCTGAGGCGATCGAATACTGCCTGAATCTCTTCGTTTTGCCTTTGTTTCAACAATTGCGCCTTGAGTTTACATACCGCGGCTTTCAAAGGCAAAACAGTGCGGATCTTTTCTTGGATTATTACACAGACACATGACGCTTATTCACTGTCAAATATCTACTACAGTATCCTTTACAGTTTAAGAAAAAGGAAAGCTCCCAAATTTCCGGTGTTCGTGCCTCAATTTTCTAGCTTAGTATGGATTGAAGTGACCTGATCCTGGATCAGAGCTGCCCGTGTTAGCGCTGTGCCGGCACCGTTCCAGTCCCCACGGTGCCAGACTTTGAGCTGATTAATAGGAGAGCGTCCATTAGAGTCTCGGCACGGCACTGGAACAATGGCGACACCTGGGCAGCTTTGTGTGTTTTGAGTCAACTGAGCTCTCTCACGGATACTCAACGTATCTTACCAAGTCCTGTGCCGGTAATTTTGTGCAGTTTGCCAAAAGTCCTGATAGGTGAGGGAGATATTTTCTTTTCTGAAATTCGTCTAATGTCTGAATGGCAGCCAGCGCGAATGCCGGATTTGTTGTATTTGCTTTTCTTGAACATACTGTAAAGGATACTATAAACCTTTAAAATTCAGTCATGATCCTTGTATAGAATCTCAGCAGTGAAGCCGTATTCATACTCATCTTTTTCCCTCCCGTTACGATTTTTGACGGCATACAGGCAAAATTATTATTTATAGACTGTTGCCTTAGGATTAAGATAACATATTAATCTTTCCATGTTATCGCAAAGAAACGTTCTTTTATAAAAAAGGTGATGCTAGCCATTGTACCAATGCCCTTCTTGACAAGGCGAGTTATCATTGTCAGTGATACAAGTCACCTTGCGCATTGAAGCTGTTGTTTTGTAAAGAAATAAAAATTTTTTATATTGTTCACGGCATTTATCTTTAGTGGGCATTGGCTTATTAAAATCAGTACAGTTGAAAATAAATCAATCTGATATCATTTGAACATAGAATAAACAAGCTATTCAAGAGACAAGGGATACGACCATAGTAAATTTCAAGGTTTTTTAACCAAGCCTTCAAAGAAGATCACGTTTTTTGAAGTTGTCACATTGTGGCTAAGTTGACGAATGCAACAGCTACCAGTTACCCAAAATTGTTTACCTTTTTGAAGGGCATATAGTGGAGGTATGCGGCGAGAAATCAAATAGTTACTTTCACTACCTTGCTTCAGCGTCAAGCATATCCAAACTCTCTTGCTGCAATCATATTCGCGTACTAGGGCCTCGACCTAGAACTACTAAGCAAACGCGGCTTCCAGACACTACTTCGAAAAGGAGGGAACGGACATGAAAAATAGTATAGGCGATTCATAGCACGCAAAGACTGCGGACGTGTTGGAGTTTCTGTGATGACGCTGACGCTCTTTCGTTTCTCTTACCATGTGCTGCCTCTCCTGTGCGCGAACTATCTTGGACGGACGCAGCGGCGCCTAGTCTGTGTGTTTCATGAATCGTGTATAGACCCATCTGAACACCTTCCACTTCCGTAAAATGCCGTTTCATACAGCCTATACCTGTTAGGCCTAAGGCCTCGCACGATTCCGGTCGCTGAGCGATTTGGCACAACAGCGACTCTTCGTAATTCGTCGTTAATGCGATGCCTTTGGTCAGAACTTGCTCTGTTTGCAACAACTTACACAAGCTACCCAAATATGCGTTCGAGAAGTGCGCATGATAATTTTGTAGAAATCTGGCAATTCGCCAAGTCGCGTGAAAGTGGCGAATCGCGTGAGGTATGCCTTAGGCCTTAAAGGCAGCGTACGAAAAATCGCTCATGCCAGATGTTCATGCACTTGGGAAGGTCCCTCCTCAACCAATGAAATCATAGAGTCCGCTTGATAAATGCGACTTTGAAGCCCCAAAATCTCTTTTGAAAGCCTCTTCCCCTAACTCCTTTCTGCTCCCATACGAAATATCAAACACTGGATCTTTCGATTACGGCCTGAACGTGTTCAAAAATGCGCTAATATGATTCTCTCCTCGAATACTTCAGCAATCAAACATCCCTTAGTAAGAGGCGAAAGAGCTGCAACGAAGGCACGCACGTCAACTGGAAAAAATTTTGATGCAAGCATAGAAAGGAAAAAGAGTCTGAAAGTTTTGACTCAAGATTTCAGAAAAAAAGTTGGCCACGGCATTCATATAAGCTTTTCGTAATTTCATACTTTACTCTAGTTCCGCAGGGCGTGTATACACACGTCTTTGAAGCCTTGTTGTAGGTTGTGTTTTGCAAAGAGTTATTTTCGCGTTTCTCACTCATGGGAAATTTTCCAAAACCTACCGCACCTTTCAATTACATGAATTTTTTCACAACTTTTCGTAGTCCATTTATCCTAGCTCTTGCCCATCTAAATACTAAATTTAGTAGCTTAATCATATGCGTGCATCAAAACTGAATCATTCGTTTGCTGAATAGTGCAAGAAACTTGGTTTTTTTTTTTGAAATGGCGTCTGCACGATCTGTCTGAGCATGTCAGTCGTGTAAGAATCTGGTCGTCGCGGGCCTGAACATGTCTAAGCGGTACTTACACGAACGTGTGATAACGATACTCCCTTTGTATGTCCGAAACATTTCATCCTAACATTTGCCACCTTGCGGCGCTCCCTGATGCCGGTAAGTTATCTATACTATGAAGGATTGTTCAGAAAGTTCTTCCGATTTTTACTTGCTTTGTTTCAACGCAGCTATTTTCCTAGAGTTTTGCCCTTACTGCAGTACGAACATAGTCTAGAAGTAATTTTCCTACTCTTTCCAATGCTTACTCATTCTCACAAATTCCCAGTCCAATAGCTCCGTAGTTAAGTTGCCACAATGCAGCCATGTTCAAGAAAATGTTTTTATGAAGGAGATTTCCTCAGTGTTCGTGAAATTACCTTTGCAATATTCTATATTGATGATAAAGATAATAAGAAAACACGAGATAATGTACCAGTAATAATAAAATGATATATTGAATCGTATTTGAAAATAGCCTGAAAATAGTAAAAAGATTTTCTGAGGACGTTCCTGACGTTGGCCCTTATTTTTACTTAAGCGCTACAAGGTGCGTAAAGTTTGAGCAGCTAAAACTTCACCTCTAATCCAAAAGGTATGTTGCCATAATGCCTATGTTATTTTTTACCAAGAGTTTTAGTGGAAGCAGGGCTTGGCACGAGGCTTTTTTAAAGAACGAAGTCCCCTTTGACTTTCCCAAAATTTTACGGTCCGCTTTGACTCTAAACTATAAACGTAAAAAACCCTAAACAAACGTCGACTGAAAAAACGTCGTTTTCTTCGGCCACAAAAACGATGTCCCCTTTGCTTTTTATGCCATAAACGATGTCCAGCTTGCTTTTAAGCCACCCGTACCGAACCCTGAGTAGAAGAGGCTTTTTCAGATGGATTCTATATCATTCTGTAGAGTTTGAACCCTTATTACAAAATCTGCTCTGACTATCCGTCGAAGCCTCTGTGCGCCAAATGATGCGCATTTTTCGGGTTGAGAAAGGGAACGACTGAGGCATCGAGGCCGGGCAGAGTTCATGCGATTTCATCGTCGCGATTCACTGCTACAAGACAAGTGTTACGAGCTCATTGCATGCCGATCTTCTTGCATTCCATTTGTGATAGTTAGCCATGATTAGTCGTGTTGGAAAACTACCACGACCGAAATGCAAGAAGATCGGCATGCACTGATATTGTTACAGTTGTCTTGTCGCGATGAATCGCGACGATGAAATCGCGCGAACTCTGCCCGAGGCTTAGGACAAAATGGTCTAAATTCAATGGAATAGTCCAATGCTTAATATAAGTGTAACATTTGATTCAACTGGCTTGGCCTTCGGGAAGGCGGGGCTCCGTGACCTAATTGCGGGCTAGCTAGTGATCAGAGAGCACCCGCGCGAAAGAGACGCAGGTGCGTCGCGGGCGCGAGCGGCCTTAAAGGCAGCGTACAGGCAAGTCTGGACCTATGGGGATTTCACGTGGAAAGTACTTTTGGAGCCCTAACTAAGTCACTGCCCAACCCGCAGCTCAGGTAGTGCCCTAACGCCTGAGATATTCTCCTCGAAACTGGACCCCGCGACCGTGTTTCGCATGGATTCATGGCGCAAAGTGTGGATCCTGGCGCGAAACTGCCATGAATCCATGCGAATACGTTCGCGGGGGCCAGTTTCGAGGGAAATATCTCAGCCATTAGAGTACTACCTGAGCTGCCGCTTGGGCAGTGCCTTAGTTAGGGCCCCAAAAGTGCTTTACACGTAAAAGCCCTATAGGTCCAGATCTGCCTGGACGGTGCCTTTAAAGGCAGCGTCCCGGCAGATTTTGCATTTCCATCTTTTTGCATGTTTTGGGCTTTCTCGACCCTTAGATCCCGAATCTGAGCTTTAAAAGGGGTGAAAAGGCCTTTTTTCGGGGCGTTTTTTCAATTTCCAAAAGGCAACTCGGACGAGAATTTTCAAAGGAAAGTCGGGAGGCCTTGGCACGAAGACCCTGCTGCCTGTAATTTTGGCTTTGTATAGCATGCACAATGCGGGAAAGCGGTTGGGGGATCCCGCCCGTCTAGCGGAGAGCACTCGTCCGAACAAGGTGTTAGGGGAGCGAAAGAAGGAAGGGGAGCGGCGCTTGGGCCGTCCCCCTGGCTTGCAGAGTTCACATTTTCGGCGCGGAGTTGCTGTTTTGGTTCACTTGGAGGGCCTCCTATCCATCTGTGTCAAAATCTGAGGTAAGTCAGTCTGGCGAGCCACTGCCTTTAATTACGTCACAAACCCCGCCTTCCTGAAGCCAAGCCAGTTGAATCAAAGGTTACTTTGGGCAATGGATGATTTGTCAGGTATAAGGTCGGTCCGAAAGTTTTGTCAGTTTTTTGAAATGACCCTTAAATCCCGTACAGTGAGGATAAAACTTCATTTCAGCTGTATCCGATGCAGAATTTCTTCCTCTTTCCAGCAGTCATATTTCAAGTGTGATTCTTTGAAAGAGTGCTGCCACCCGTAGTTTTCACCATGTCCAATTTTCGCTATTTTCAAATTTTTGTAAGAGAGTTCTGGAAGAGCTTCGTTTACCAGTAGGTAGATCAAATCATTTGCCAAAGTAGGAGATCTTTTTCTTTTTTCAGTTGTTCTTTCAAGATTTTTCAGAATAACTTTTTAAAGCTTTAAGTTTTTGGACAAATTTTATAACTTATTGTTGCATC